TTCAAGGTACTCATTTATTGTGTATGAATAATTACGCTTAGAGCACACAGGCAGTGACATTCTGAAAGGTCCTTCAGCGAGGGAAGTGACTGTATATAATCTGACACCTCTCATACCAGATGGTAATAAGCTGGACCATGGGGTTGGAGCAGCAGCGTGTGAGGGTGGATGTGTGATAAGATCAGAACCACCTTTCGGTTAATTAAAGGTTAACTCTAATTTAACACTTTGATTCTCGCTTCCACCTTGTTCATTGGTTCACTGGGCTGCTATCTGTGGGCTGATGCTCTACCAAGTGCTTAGCCTATAAGCAGTCAGGAGGCAGCCATGGCCCCTGCGTTGATGGAGCTTGTAATTTAGCCCCAAACTGATCTTCAGAAAGAGGTACAACAAATAGTTCCAGCAGTTAGAATAAAAGTGACACATCCAAAGAATAATCAGAGAAGCACACATAATTTCCCATGCAGATCAACCGTGAAATGAATGAGCTCAGGTGACAATTTCACTGATCTTTGAAGCAGAGAAATGAGACGATTTTAGATCTTTTTAGGCTTTTGGTTTTGAACATTTGTAGGTTTCATTTACCCCAAACCATAATCCCATATTAAGTAGAACTTTTGCTGTTAAAAATTGAAAACTTTTTTCTTCTTTTATAATTCAGCTTTTCAAATTATTTGACTATGAGTAACTCATTTAATTTATGATTGCCTATGGGTTCTTGGCAATCACGACGCATATTTAGAAATCTTTGCAAAGTGAGAAAAATATAACCTACATATTATTTTCTAATATGATGAAATAGTTATGAGCCCTAAATAGAACAATTAATGGGGTAGACATGATATGGTTTCCTAGACATTGGCCTAAATGTTTATTAGTTTCTGTTTTGCAGTTTTTGTGTTTCGTATTTTGGAGCCAAAAGATCTTTTATTCAGCTCTCAAACATTCTTATAGGCACCGGGCATGTTGCCTACAATGCCTAATGGATAAAACGGCCCTGTGCATAAAACCCAGAGTGAAAACGACCAATGAAATTAAGTAAAGGTGTCAGCGTATATGGTTTTCAGATAACTTGGAGAGTTTTTTTTCCATGCTTTGCAGAATTCTTGTAGAACCAAAGAGAAAGCCACACACTCAAAAAGCACAGCATATGTGTTAGCAAGAAAGCACTTGTACCTTCGGTGTGTAGTAAGAAACACAACAGGGCTGATGTAGTAGAAAATAAACTCTGAGAAAGGAAACGCAAGGTGAGGGGAATGCATTCTTTTAAGTCCCTGTCATGCTAAGCACTGAGTCAGGGACCTTCTATGTATACTTCCATTTAATTCTCATGACAGCCCTATGAAGTAGTTAGGATCGTTCCCATAAAACAGATGAAGAAACCAAGGCTTAGAGATGGTCGGTAACTTACCAAAGGATATACCGCTATGGAGAAACAACCCGGCATCAGCTGAACCCTGAAGGCCTTACTCTCTCCACAGTTCTCATACTGTCTGCTTGTTTCCTAAAAGGGTGGGGATTTTATGACATATTTCTTTCTCTAAATGCTGATTTAATAAGTGATGAATGTCAGTTAGTGTGGAGGAGATAAAAGAGGGTGGATAGAGAGGTTGGACTTTCCAAGAGCAAAGTTGAAGTAATAGAAGGCAGAATTCACTGTCTCTTTTGTTTGTTTGTTTGTTTGTTTGTTTCCTTAAGTGATTCATTAGTAGAACAAAGCAGTGCTGGATAAAACTTCTGAAGCCCACAGTCTGTAGCAATATCAAGGGAATTTTGAACTATGGAAAGTCCCAAATGATAATCAGATTGGAACATGTCCCAGCTCCTTCATGGTCCCTTTACAATGTTTCTCGAGATCTAGTCCTAGGCCACCACCCCCAAAACTATGCAAGGAGCTCAATAAGATGCAGATTCCTGGGCCCCAAACCAGACCTACTGGATTAGCTTCTCTGAGGGAAAGACCTGGGAATCTGAATTTAAACTCACTGTCCCTACCTCTAGGGGTGATTCTATGCCCATTAACATTTTTAAACCCCACCCTGATGGTTCAGAATAAGATTCCACTGCCTCCTCATTTTATTATTCAAGAGATTTTAAAACCATAGCTTAAACTATCAAGCATATCTAGTTCTGGGCTCACCATTATCTTACAGATGAAAAATTTAAAGAGAAAATGAGCAAATTGCTTCATTAAGCAAGTCAGTAAAACTGCTAAAATGCAAACTCAGAAAAATGAATAAGCCACGCCTGATCCCCAGTGCACTGGGATTATCGCTTAGGGCCTAGGCTTAAGTCATTAAAACGATTCCCACCCACTGAGAATATCCTATACCCAGGAAGATGTTGACAGATGTTTTTTAAAGCAGTTGCAATTGCCAGGAAGGCTAAAATCACCTCCTAGCAGATAAGCCATCTCCACTATGAAAGAAAGGAAGGAACAGAGGAAAGGAGGAAAGAAGGAAGAGGGAAAGAGGGAAGGACGGCGAGGGGGAGAGAGAGAGAGAGAGAGAGAAGAGAAGTGAGGAAGGGAGTGAAAAGAAAGGAAGAGGCAACCACACTCCCACGGGTGTGAACCACTGGTCTAGGGTACATGGAGAGAGGCAGCCTAGAGACCCAGGATCAGGATACTGTGGAGAAGCCCTTGGTATTTGGCAGGGAAGGTGCCAGGGCCACCCTCTTGCCCTCCCCATCCTGGCCATGTCACTACCCCAGACCCTGACTGTGCGATGCTTCAGGCATGACCTACTCTTCAGCCCTGGCTGCAACTCCTGGAAGGGCTGGCACAGGGCATTTTCCGAAGCTGATTTCCTCCTGCAGGACTCATCTACCTTTTGCTAAGCAGAAAATGTTCTACTGAGTGTAGACTTAAAGTAAAACAAAACATGGAATGTGAGTGCCTGAGGGTCACCCCAGCACCCAAGCCCTTTGACATCAATCCAAGGGAAGATGAGTCCAAATTTCTGCCCTCTGGAAGGACAGGGAGCCATGGGGAAAGCCTGCAGGGCAGTCCCAGCAGACACAAGGGGAAGAAGTCTGAAGGCTTAGGCTTCTCCCACTTGGAGCTGAAAAGGTTGGGTCTAAAAAGGAAAACACGCTACCTTCCTGCCAAAGTCAACCGTGATGAAAGTTTAGAGCCCACCACCTCTCCGCCAAGCATTTCCTGTTCTGGCCTCCCCATCTGCCTCACTGGCTCAGATGTGGGAGAGCTATTTTTAAGGTGCAAACAACCAGGACTAAGAATGAGAGAAGTTATTTATTTATAGTTACACCTTTCAACTGTTTTTTTCCCCTCCGGAGATAGAGGCCAGGTTTCGTTTTCCCTTTGAATCTACAATTCCCAGGACAAGGAAGACTGAAAAGCCACAGGTCAGTTTATCACCTCTAGGCAGGCATCGTTGTCATGGGCAGTACAAGTCTAAAAGCTGTGCACCACCCTTGAGGAATCCCTCTTAAGGAACATACACTCAGCTCATGCCACATGTGTGCTCTTGAGAAGTATTTTGTAAAACATGCTTTTTATATAAAAGGTGATTCAAAAATGCATTAGTGCTTTTGTTGTTTAAAGGAATCCACCCGCACAGTCAGGGTCTGGGGTGGTGACATGGCCAGGATGGGGAGGGCAGGAGGGTGGCCCTGGCACATCCCCTGCCAAACACCGAGGGCTTTCGGCACTATCCTGATCCTGGGTCTCTAGGCTGCCTCTCTCCATGTACCCACAAATGCATTCGTGCTTTCGTTGTTTAAAGGAGTCCTTTGTTTTTTCAACCGAGGATTCTAATAGCATCAAATAGATACTCCCTAATTTACAGAGGTTTGTAAGATCAGACTTCATATTAGATTTACTTGGGACAGGGCAGATCTATAGCTAGTGTTCTAAGGGTCAACAAGCTCTTTCTGGTTATGTAATTGCATCTTTCCTCTTGTAATTCAGGGATATCTTCTTACCCAGTTAAATTGGTTCATTCCTAATACCAAACCTTGCAGGACCCATTGGAATTTGCCAGTAAATGAAAGAGGAAATCCCTCCCTTGTGATGTTCACATAAGCATCATCTTGGTTGTGGATATTACCCCGATCAGTCCACTGACATTATTTTCCTGATAGCACGTGTCCCCACCCAGCATTCTCTTGGTTGCTTCCGTCTCCCCCACGGCAATGTAAGCATCACCAGGGCTTTGTTTATCTTTAATTAATCACTGTATCACAAGCTTCAAAAATATATTAGATGCTCAACATTCATTGTTCAATTAGTGAATTTCTATTGACCTCAAATTGCTAAAGTATTTGGGATTATACAGGGTGTTGCAGAGCCCCCCACACTGTATTTTTAAATTAATATCTTCTTAAATATCCAAGTTCCACTGTTTTCACCCACTGCCTCAGGCATTATTATAAGAGTGACTTGAAGGACAGGAGGATGGCTTCATTCCAATTCCACTAGTATCTATGCATTTTAAATGAGTCAAACTAAGCTGACAACTCTACAGAATGAGTTGGTCAGCATGACCTACTCCCAGTTTCCTCACTCTCACTACTTTGGGTGGGTTCCTTGTTCAGCCAGGCCACCGAGGTCATGATTCAGCTTTTGGCCAAGGGAGGATCCTTGTTGCATCATCAGGCTTGTATGAGATTTGGTGTCTGTTCCACTCCATGAAGAAACAGAAAAGATAGGAAACTATTTGAGCACAGAATGAAGGCTTAGAAGCTAATGTATGAGAAAGATGGAGAGAAACAGTTTAACAACCCATGTAACCCAGGATGACACAGGAACTTAAGAGGGCTGGAAATCAACCATACTCAGCACGTGATAGTTCAAAGAGGTTTTGCTGAATAATGGATGAATGGCAAAATCATGCATACATGATACCTGAGCTAAGGTATTGGTTATATCTACTTCTTGGCAGCTTCAAGTTATTATTTTGGGAACATTTCCAAATGCTCCAAGTGCAATGGGGAAAAAAAATAAGTAGGCACAAAGATTTAGTTAGTCACTTACTCACCTTTTTACCCACGTGGGGCCCACTGGTTCCCCCAATGCTTCTCTGCACTGATGGTGGCACCTGATATACCTCTTGTTCTTGGGTGCCATGGCCAGTGGGGACTTGGTAAATTCCCTGATTTTGGTAGGAAGGTGGCACTTGGTAGATGGTGTCTCGGGGAGCAGCCTGTGGGTTTGGCACTTGATAGAGCTTCTGTTGGCCAAAGGTCTGCTGCATCAGTCCAGAGGCAGGCTGGTCGTGACTGGAGGTGGTCTCCTGCACAGGACCAATCAGAAGCTTCACCCGGTTGCCTGGAACAATGCCTTGTCGACCATGTAAGGAGCACAGCCACCATCCTTCCAGTCCCCCTGTGTTCTGCTCTATGACAGTCAGGATGTCTCCCTTGCGAAAGGCCAGTTCCTCGGCACACTCTGGGACATTGTCATATAAGGCCCTTGCCATAAGATTCTAGGAAAGAAGGAAGAGAAGGAAACCGTGTTAGAATATTGGGTCAATCCCTTTAGCACCTAAGGCCTGTGCTCTTATGGAAAGGCACACTTCCTGGAAAGAGAGAAGCATAAATCTGAACAATAGACTGTAAGGAGAAAAACAGATGGTGCAGACAAAAGACAGATACATACACACTGCATCTGCCACCAGTGACATCAGACTGCCTCCTTGGAAAAGCTCAAAACACCAGAAGAGTTCTTTCCTCTAGCAGGAGATGCCGTGCCAAGGAATTGTGAGTAGCACTGTTACAGAGTTAGAGCATGGTTCACTATTCAAAATGTTTTTCTTCCTTTTTTAAAGTGAGCTTAAGGAAAAAAAAAAAAATCCCGAGATATTCAGATGTACAACAATGAATATTTCTGAATATTGTTCTATACTGGAGGTGAAAAGAGTAAAAGAAAAATCCCAAATAACACAGTACAAATAGCATTTATATTTGGAGTTGAAAAATCAACAGAAATCCATATATATATGCCTTGGCAGGGCTTAGAAATTCTTGTTCTCGGATGACAGGAGCCTCGGATCCAGAGGGAATCTATAAGCAAGGCATACAGACATGCCATCAAGCATGGAGCACAGGCCGGCAGTCATCTACATCTTCAGCTTTGACAATGAATTTATTAACACATAGGAGGATGCCAACTCTTCTCTTTCGGTCTTTTCTGCATACCTTTCCTGAGGGCCCCTCCTCGCCCTCCCCTTTCGTCACCTACTTCTTGAATCTCGCCATTCACATTGGAAAAGCTGTGCCTTCCCCTTTCATGGGTCCAACACACTCTCCGTCTTTGTATGAAGGCCTGTCTGGCACATTCAGTACTAAGCAGACAGCCAAAGTAGGCATTCAGCAGAGAGTGGGCAGGCAGTACGTGCTGACATTCTTGGAGGCCTTTCAAAGGCTGGGAAGATTTCATTTCTTGGCATTAGTAAAGTTTCCCAGCACGCGGGCAGCCATTCTCGCATGCCTGCCCCCTTCCCAGAGCACAGAGAAGTCGGGAACGTTGTTGATTCAGCACAAGCCCTCGGAACACTAAAAGTGATCTCTAGTGCTTTGTGAAGATGTTTGGATGCACTTAATGTCATTGAGGTGGGGCTCATTTATGGAAGAAGGGATTGCGGATTGGATGGGGCAGGTTCGTGACTTTATTTCATACCATGACATATTCGTGGGATTTTCGGCTGAGGTTGTCTGGACTTTTGCCCTCTGTTTTCTTCTCTAGCGACGTGGACTTGATCATTCAGCCTCGAGCTTTTCATTTCTTTGAGGCTGACTTGCACCATTCACGTCCCCCTGTGCCAGCCCCATTGCCACGGATTGTGCGCATTTTCCACTCTGGAGGGCTGTGCAATGGAAGGGATCTGCCCTCTATTCAGTAGTTGGGAAGGTCCAGTTCTGCTGCTGTGAGCCAGGTTCCTCTTAGCCAGGGCAATTGAAGGAGATAAACATAGAGGACAGTCCTCAGGAAGCTTTGTGATACTCTTCAAGAATAAGGTTGAAGTCCTTTTTCTTGATAGTTATGAGATCCAGGAAGTGTGGGACACAGAGAGGTGAGTGGCCAGGGAAGCTAGAGGGAAACTGAGGACTGTGTGTTTCAGGGGAAGGATTCACTGGGTAGTTAATATTCCAGGAGGCGTTGAGTTTCATCTAACAATTAAAAGTTCACATACATAAAGATAAAATCAGGCAGCAGTTTATCCTGTTCGTGGAACCCTTTAAGGATGGTGTCATAATCCTAAAATTGCCTCTGTTTCTCTTCTCCCATCTTTTGGGTGTTCTGTATTTCACAAGAGAAATCATAGAGTTATAGAGGACAAGATTTTGGTCCTTTTACTAAAATGACCTCCAGGAAATGGTTCCACCAGAGTTGTACTGAGATTTTTAAGTGGGGAGAGAGCTGACCACTCTGGCTTCTGTCTGTCCCTTTATTCTGGGCCCATTCAGCAATCAGGAAGCCCCTACATGAAATCAGAAGTAACAGAGTTGGGCCAGTTGTATGAGAGCTGGGGGTTGGTAGCTGTGCAATTATATTGGCTACAAAGAAGGGAAAGAAGAGAAACAGAAAACAGTAGAAAGGCAAAGGGCTACAGATCTAATCAGCATAAATCAGCTCAAAGCATTCGGAATTGGGCCACTTCCAACTCCAAAAGCACCATGAGGTACTGAAGTGGATCACTGGAGCATGATGGATCAGAGGCAGATAGAAATCCCCGTGCGAGAGTCGTCCTGGGCATTCTTTGTCTCCTGTCCCAGTAACCTTCTTACCACCTGGTGAGCAGCCAGCTAATGTTTCTACACCGGCCCGTGAGCTGCTTTTCGGGGGAAACTCTCAGAGCCCCACAGTCTGGGCTGATGTAGGCACCGCAGGTGAGTCCTCCGGACGGGTGGTCAGGACTTCCCAGCGGTCCTCCTCAGTGCCCATAGAGATTAGGTTTCAGGCACAGCTTGACACTGCTGTTAGTAGCCAGGACCCCAGCACTAGTCTCACACCTGTTCACACACTGACACATATTCTCAGCCTTGGCTGAACAGGAGTATGAGTTATTTAATATCTGTGCAAGCTACAGAGAGTCAATGTCTATATCCAACCACTCTCCTAAACTGAAGCTTACAGCTCCAGAGACCTTTAGAGATCACCTGGACACAATGCCCTTGAGTCACAGATGATGAAATGGGTCTGGGGTGGCCTATCATTTGCCCACGGCCACACTGTTGGCAGCGATGGAAAGAGAATTGCACTCTTTCAGTTTCATCCTCTTTCCAGAACTTTAAGCTACCTTAGCTCAGCCACACAGCGCCCTTGTTACTGGGCTCGGTTCCATTATATGATAAAGTACTGAAGAGGACCAGTTCTTCCTTTCATGTCTATGGAATAAATTGGATATTTGGGGTCTTTGGTTCTAGCTGTGTTACTTTGCCAGGCAATAGCTCCCCTTTGGGCCTTAGTTTCCTGGTCCTTGGTAAGCTATGGTGATGTTTTAATTTGCTAGATGGCCCTTGGGCTTCCGGCTCCCTCTCCGTCTTGCCTCCTCTCCATTCGCAGTCCAGGCTTGGTCCTATTCTAATGATGCTATTAGGTATGTTTTATACCTATCTGATATTTATCTCTCTCACGATGACATTTCAGAAGAACTATTATCTCAGAGCAGTATATTTCTGAATTATGAATGATTTCTTGTCACTGCAACCTCTTGTTGAGTATCTGCATACAAACAGCAATAGTGCAACCACTGGCTGCATTCAAGGGAATTTCTAAGACAACATATTAATAATGATACTACTTGATAAATTATGGATAAATCTCATCAGATTCCAACACAGATAATACATCAGCAAGCAGGGAAAGGCATGGGGCAGGAGTTGGGCTTTCGAAAAGATTTGGTGTTGGCGCAAGGTTTCCGTAAGACCTTAACAGCCAAATGAATTTCAGCTGGACCATAAATCATCTCATTCAAAAGTGCACATCACTTGTATGTAGGAAAATCAAGAATGAATTCTTCTGGCAAGGAGGTGGAGGGACCCTCTCCTTCAGTGCAAAGGTGTGATTCTTTGAGGCCATAAAGTCAGAAACTGATGATCTGCTATCTTAGAAAAACCCCAGAGAAGCAGTTTCGTCTACTCAAGATCTGTGCTTTCTCCTGCCTGCCCCACCACCTTGGATATTTATCTCCAGGGTAGGGAAGGTCAACACAAACAAATCAAGGAGAGATAAGAGCACTATGTAACTCTATATTCAGTTGGATGGTGAGTCTCCAGTGGCTGGCAGTTAGCAGTGCAGCTAGGGCTTGGCAAAATGCCAAAACAGTTAGGGCCCAGAACTTGAAAGCCAGAAGGAACTTTAAACAATTACCATCCAACCTTTTTACTTTACAAAAGAAAAAATGAGCCTCAAGAAGTTAATGATTTGCCAGGTCACCTGGCAAGAAAGTCTTAGAGCTGAGACAGGAATTCAGGCTTTTGTCTTCAGGTCCAGAATTAGGACAGAATTTAGGCAAGTGAAATGCAGGTGCAACACAAGCTGTGGCTCTAATCAGGATTGGAAACCAGCATTTGGGATCATGAGCCCTATCTGAGGGAACCCTGACTGCAGCAGCCTCTAGCCTTGATCCCCACCCCAAGCTTCCTTGAAACTGTCTTCTTCTGACCTCCACGATACCACTTTTTAGTTCTCCCTCTTCTCTTGACCACTCTCATCCTTATTCTCCATCGGAGACTAAATCTTTTTCCCATCCGTAAAGTGATCATGTTCCAAAGAGATTTGTCCTTTGCACTTTCCCGTTCTCAACTATGTGCTTACTCTCTACAGGAAATCTCATCTATGGGATGGCATCTGAACACACAAATATTTCCTAAAGCCATCGTTTTTGCTGGATATTTCTTCTGCACTCCAGTCCCTTATATCCAGTCTAATGGGCATCTTCCTCTCTAAAAGCAAGTGCAAACACCTTTTTCTCCTGCTTTGCTTTGCTTGGTTAACAGCATGCACACAGCTGCCCAGAAGGAGCCACAGAGGTTTGTTATGTCTCTTCATGACCTGCAACCCATCAGTGGGGCCCTGCTTTCCACCTCACTGCCACCCTTCATTCAGGTTCTTAGCAACTTTTTTTTTTTTTTCTGTAGCACAGAGATTGCTTCCCAATTGGCTTTCCTCATTAAACTTCTTCCTCCCTCAAAACCCATCTTCCATTTAACCAGACTGCGTATCTATCCAAAGGCTGTTTCCCTTCCCAGTTCTCGATCATACTATTTCTTTACAGTACAACTTGGATTGTCCTGTTCAAGACTGTGAACTCCTTAAGTTCAGAGATGCAAATTCCTTTTGCATTTCCAGAACTTTACCCCCATATCCAAAATGAAATATAGACTCATTAAATGTTTACTAAGTTGAAATAGATTCTGGACTCTGATTTCCTCATTGTCTGCAGGGAGGGTGAAATTGTTTTACTTAAAGAGTTCAGCAAGA